TGTGTTCAATGAAGAAGTACTATTATATCAAATAATGGCTTGAAAGAAAGGTTGAGGTTGCCCATTAAAATGTATATTTTTCTGCGTAGACATTGACATAGCACTTCATCATTCATATTACTCACAATAAAATCCTCTGCATTAAGACATCAATACACCACGCAGAGAACAAACGACATCAAAAAATGGAAGTTTAGACAGCCAACTTTACTGTCACTGCAAAACACTTGGCAATATATATATATCAATGCCAAGCTTGATAATGAAAGCCACTCCAGCACCACGAGACCTCAGATCACATCGACAAAGTTGGTAGTTTGGCCAAACTAACTCATACCACAATATAACGAATCTGGATATAACAAAATTTTGGTTATAACAAAATAGATAGAAATTGTCTAGCATTAGATATGGTGCTTGGGATAAATCTTTATAAACATTTGACATAACGAACTATTTTTGTGTAAGGTGCAACTTTGTTACAATGAGGTATGAGTGTATCTCTATTGCCAATGGCTCGCACTATGCTCCAACAAATCAAGTGTTTCCCCTGGAAAACTAAGTTGTGTCTTCTCTCTATGGCCTCTTAGAGCAAATGTACTCAAAGATATTCTGACGATTTTTACAGGGAAAGTTGTTATAACATCACAACAAGGGTTGCATGCACAGTTGCATGCCAGTGTTGCATGCCAACACTGGCATGCAACTGTGCATGCAACAAGGGTTGCATGCCAGTGTCCATAACCATTATCACGCAAAATAAGAAAAAAATATAAATAAACTAAAACACCAAAGACGCAATGAAATTCTAATCTGGGTTTCCTGTGTGCCTGCCCAGTATTCTACCACTAAGCCAGGCCAGTGCTTAACATTCCATTGCAAAGTGGCCTTAGGCAAGCTTGATGTTGGCAAAAGAATTGCGTTAATACGAGTACTAAAGCGTTTATAATAGCAAAGGAACAACCAGGCATCACACAATGCAATTTGAATAATGAGTGGGTCATTGAATACTTCAACTTATTACAAAAGCTTCAGGCATAATTCTTCATCGTCAGTAGCCACGGCATAAAAAAACTGCACAAAACTCCTTACATGTGTCTAGAGGGTACCACAATTCTCAGAAAAATGACAAAGGATGGAATATTAAATGCCGCCTACTACTCAAAAATTATGGTGAATATATAAGGACAGGTGCCAGTGTGCTTGTAGAAGTTACCCAAACGGTGTTTAAAAGAGGCTCTGAAAAGCCACTCTTCCAGCTTTCACTGTGACTGTGCTGTGAATTCTGTGCAGGCCTCATAGTATATAAGAACTCTTAAGAAAACAGTGAGTAATTATTTATTCTATAGCTGGGGAAGTTCTTTTTCAAGAGTGAAGTGGTCAGGTTCACTGCATAAGCTCTCATGTCTTTTCTGATAATGCACCAGCTGGGACGCAATGTACCATACTGTTGAATAAGTTTTCTGTTTATTTTAGAGCACTTAAAATTTTGAAATATTAGTGAATTATTAAAGAATATTCAGTTTTACGGATATTGTCTACTAAATAGATTACAAAGCATTCAATTTGATATGATAAGTCATTGAGTATTTGCACATGCTTAAAATATTGCCATGCCAGAATTTTCCTGGTGTAGATAATTCCACATGTTGCTTAACATTTTTCTTGAAGAAAGCTTCTATGCAATATGATCATAAAATATTTTAACAAGGTTTTTAAACAAAGCCATTGTATGTTTCACATATATTCATGCTTCACAAGCATAGTTGTATAGATAGGTGATTCATATAATGACCCATATATGGCCTATCATCACTGGTAGGGTAGAGAGGGGTTCTAAGGTGTGCACTTTCAGGCTGTTAAGAATTGCCTGAAAAATCTGGCTTATTGCTGCATGAGTGTCCGAGCATGCCAATTAAGATCAATTATGAGATTATAATTATAGGCAGGGGTTATATGTGTGTGTGTTGCTGGCACATCTGTTGAAATTATAAAGGCAGAAATGTTTGTTGAGCATTGTTTATTGATGTTAATGTTAAATGACTGTGACATTGGACAGATCTTGCCATATTGTGCATGTGTCTGTTTACTCACATACCTGCTGGCAAAGCCACAAATAAATACAGATGGAAATTATCATATGTGCCTGTTTCTTCATTTATGTGAGTCACTTCTGCACTTTGCCCATCTGTGAAGCTGTACCATCTTGCCAATAAGCTTCACTAAGCTATTCGGATTTATGTGTCATTGTTGACACAGATCACGACAGGGCATATGCTAAAGCTCTTGTAAGATCACAGACTGAAGATGCCAGCTAGTTTACCTTTATTTGGTCTAAAACTACCGAACATCAAAATATACCTGCTTGCATATTATGTAAGTGCTTGACGGGAGTCTTGTGAACTTAAAAATATGTGGTGCTCCCAAAAAGAAACTTCCGATGCTGCCACTCGCAAAATCCTACCTCATTCATAGCTTGCTGCGAACCCAATAAATATTCACCTATGAGATATGTTACGAAAAGTGACCAGCTCATTAAAAATATCTGCTAGCCTTAGGGCTACCTTTATAAATAGGGGCTTTATTAGGCACTGGCTTCAATAAGCACTCATTCCATCAATAATGAATGTTTCAGCTTGGGAACTTTATAGCCATCTTTTTAAGACTTCATGACCGGGAATGCGATGCATCTCAACACCTAAGAACCGGCACTTGCCTAGTTACCACTCCATCTAACCAACAAGCAGCCCCTTTAAAATGTTTGAACATGTTATATCATGTCACGTTACCATTAGTTTGCTGAAACTATCTGCTCTTAGTTCTGGTTCTCAGAAATCAATTCAAGGTCACCTTATTGCTTCATTGACAGACTGCACGTATAATTTCTACCATTATTTAGTGGGTATTTCCTTTGATTACTGCAAAGAACATTATAAAGTGAGCCACGAGTTACTACTTTTCAAATATAGTTTATGAAACATGGATGGTCGTCTCACATGCTTAGCTCGAGTGCATATTTGCTTAAAATCATTTTATATTTAGAGCATATATGCGATGGCAGGAAATGTGCAGTACCACTGGAGTCATCTCAGGCAATTAGCTTTTTGAAAGATGTCATGCCACAATACTAAATCAATTTGCAATAAACTAGAAGTTCATTTCTTTGCGAACTGCTTGTCACAAAATGTTTTACCACGGTAATTTGGTATGGACTCGTTACAAAGGCTGAAGCCATGGCCATGCTATCTACCGTATCACCAATAATGAGACACAAGATGGTGGGTGTATAATTAAGGCACACACAGGAGGACTAATAACAGTGCTACATTTCCAATTTGCACACATGCACATGCATGTGAATGCTTTACCTCAATACACTGGATGTACTTCGCCGCACTACGCCGCTGCATTGCGGCAATGTTGACTACTTTTTGAAAATACGTTTGAAGGTCGGCGATTTAAGCTAGACAATCCTCCAAGCAAAAATTTTCGCTTTCTTTTTTATTTGTAAACACCTACCAAAGCAAACAGTGCTTAGAAAACCAATTGCCATCATCGGCGAACACATAATTGTTACTCGGACGATGGCGTCGGGTGGACGCCGGATCATATCCCGTCACTTCCACATTGCGCATACCGTATCTGTCTCGCGCACTTACACAAGACGAAACTTCATTCAAAGTAATTCACCCACATGACAACCCAACTGATACCGATTGATCCTCAGCAACACAACCAGCACACATCTACGTAGTGCGTACGCAGCAGTACTGTAGTTGTGCATGAAACAGAATTTCACAAATATAACCTTTAATTCACGCTCCTACAGCTCATTATCATTGCTTTTGGAATGGGCGGCAAATACTTCGTCATATTTGATGTTGTCTACTGAGCAAGACAGCAAAGTTCACTTGCCCATCAGCGTGTAAACACTGCGACTTCACGGGAACAACCAAAAGCGGCAGCGCCTTGCACTTGAATCACTTTCTATAACACTTTGTTACTCAACGCAACTACGTCCCCACAGGCAGAGGCAGTTCTCGCTATGGCACACAGCTCATGGTCAAAACCAACACCCACCACGGAGAAAAAAACTACCGCAACGTACAGTTACTACTGCTGTAACCACCATAGATTTTCTAGCAACCTAGTGAGAAACTCCACAACTTGAATCGTCAAAAAAAAAGCTTTTAGCTAAACCTTTTTGACACCACCTATTAATACACTTCCAGCCAAATCAAACCGGTTTGAAGTAGCTATATAGGTGAATGAAGCGCTTTTCCCCTCAAAACACTCAATTCACCTGGTGGCAGCAACGCCGCCCCATTGCAAACGATTAGCATCACAACAAATTATTTGCCTTGGGTAGAAATGGTGACAATTTATTTCAGAAGATCTTTATTACAGCATCTAGCACGTAGGTGTGCACTACAGTTTTTAAAATGGAATATGTTATACTTTGCAATAAGTGTACTTCCACTGACGCTGAATTACATTGTTCTTAAAATAAATTTTGTTATACGTTGCAATACGTGTATTTCCACTTACGCTGAATTACATTTATGGTAAACTATCGCTTAATAATACCACAAAACATCGAAATATATGTTTGTTACCTGCTAACAAGTATATTTGTTATTAAAACATGACATGGCTTATATTTAACAATACTGTACTAAGGAATTGTTGCTACCTTCAGGACAAAGCTTGTTTTGGCCAATAGGGAAATATAATGTGATTAAATTATTTTTAAAAAAAACAATACTTTAGCACTAGTATAGCAGTAATTTTTATAGAAAACTAGATTTAAAATCATAATTCTACACAGGCATATACTTTGTACTGAATGGATTGTTGAAATATGTCAAAATGTTCTCCTGAAAGTGAAAAATTCCAAATTTCTTTCTTAAACTTAGATGTTCTAGAGGCACGAGGTCATCTGAGGTATTGCTCAAGCTCTGATTCAGTCATCACACAATTTAGACATAAAAAATTAACATTTATGATGAGGCTGTAGCTTGTGAGTGAAGGAAGAAGGATCGCAGCGGCCGCAAAATGTGGCACACCACTGGCACACTCCAGGCTTTTCCCAGCAACTGGCGTCGTTTGCCCAGTGAAATGTTGCCCACGTCCGTGTAGTGCTTCGGGAATCCAAACAGCCTGCGCATTGTAGGACAGATGAGAAGAAAATGAAATCCCCGAAGCCTCAACACAACAATAATGAACAAATAATGACATGTGATTGTGAGAAACGCAAACATTAACAAGTGCAACACGTTCCAGATGTTGATAATTTGCACAGTGAACACAATAATTTGTGAAGTGGAAGGTGCCATTTGGAAGAAGAACAGAAAAGGTCATAACACAAGAGTCCCTCACAGCTGTTTTTACCTCAATCAAGCAGGTTGTTAATTTATATAGACAACAGAGGCATGGGGTATATATTGAGGAAGGGTGTCTTGTAAATATGAAAATAAAACAAGAAGTTTTTGATTATTCAAGGTGGTACAAGACTGGCTGATGCAAGCCCGTGAGGTAACATTCATGTAGTAAGCTTCCACAATCTCGTGATTGATTTTGTTTCTGCTTTGGCATGGTATATCAGACTTCTAAAATTATGGTTTCCAGTGATTGCAGTCAGACCTCTATGACCTTCTTGATAAAGAAGCCACTTCTCTTGAATGGCATAATGAAGTCTCACCCAGTCTCATTGTTCGCATCATGCATCTTTAGTTTTTGTGCAAATCAAAAACCTGTTTGACTGAAACAAGAGCAGTTATATAGGAGAGTGCCTACATCACGTTGCTTCTTCTTTCTCCTCCGTTCGGGTTGCAATTTGCGCTGCTCAAAGTTATGTAAATTACCGACTCGGCCTAGTTGCTCTTATAAAAAAATTAGCAGATCCTACGTACTGTGGGAAACGGTCATATGCGAAGCACAAATGAGGAAGGTTCATATGTCACTTACAAATCAGTCCAACATTATGAGGCAGATGTCAATTATGTCGCATATGACTTCCATGTCATGATTATTATATTAGTATGTGTTATTTACCTTCATCGTGTATACAAACCACTAGATGTCAAATTTGGTATATGTAGAACTAGCAAAATGGCTGCAAGCATGCTATGAGTGTGGCATGTAGTCATGCTTTGCATGACATGAATGTCATCTTTATTATGTTTGGACATGTCATTTACTTTCATCGTCAACTCATGTCACGTGATATAAAATTTAGTATGTACGGAAATAGTGAAACGGTCGCGAGCACGCTATAAGCGTACCATGTATTCCTGTTTTGCATGACACGCATATCGTGATTATTATGTTTAGATGTGTCCTTTAATTACTTCATTTATTCATGTCACGCGATACCAAGTTTTGTATATGTGGAGCTAGCGAAATGGCCACGAGTGTGCTATGAGTATAGCATTTAGTCATGTTTCTCATGACATGCATGCCATGATTATCATGTTTGTACATGACATTTACTTTTGTCGTCCATTCACGTCCATCATACCAAATTTGGTGTATGTGAAGCTAGCGAAATGGCCACGAGTGCAGTATGAGCGGGGTATGTTGTCATGTTGTTACATGATACACAGCTCATGATTATCATGTTTGCACCAGTCGCATACCTTCGGCATTCATTCACGCCCCATAATATGAAATTTTGTATTTGTGAAGCTAGCTAAATGGCCGTGAGTGCAGCACGAGCGTGGCATGTAGTCATGTTATTGCATAACATGCATGTCATGACTGAGTTTCACAATAGGGTCTGTCACTTGTATTTTCTCTGCAGTCATGTCTTACCTTACCAGTTTTCGAACACCTCATGTGAACGAAACCACCACAAGAGCAGCAAGACCATAAAATGTATATCATGACATTCATGATATACATGTCTTAATTTTCATGTTATAACTACTCACTTATGCTCTTCATGCAGTCATGTTATGTCATAGCAATTTTGGTATCAATATCAGTATTGAAACAGCCAGGAGAGCTAAAGCCGTAGGTGGCTAGATAGATAGATAAATAAACAGACAGACAGACAACACAGACAGACAGACATATAGATAGATACAGTCGAATCCGGGTATATCGAACTCGCCAAAAAACATTCACTAGTTCGATATATGGCATAATTCGATATATGCCCGGTATAGGTTTTGACACAAAAGCACATAACAAACTAAAAGAATAGTACTTTATTAATATGGTGGCTTACTTGCGTGCCCTGTTGCAAAACAAAATAGTCCCGGATTATTTTCTGTGTCAACGACTTCGCTGCCTGCGACAGCACGCACGCCTCCACGTTGTCCGAGTCGGAGCAGCTGAGGCTGCAACCTTCCACATTCAACCAATAGTGCTGGACCAACGCAAGTGCACTAATCACTTCGGAGGATGTAGGCAATGGGCGGTCGTCGCTTTCCATATTGCTGTCGTTTTGTCTCGTGGTCGGCATGACGTCTGCAATGTAATTCTCATCCTGTAATTGGCCCACAATGGGGACATCAACGTCTGCACTGATGAACTCGTCGAATGTTGATTCGTCGATAGCACCCGGGAACTCTGCCAGCTCGTTCCAAACTTTGGCGGAAACACCTGCGGTGTCTTCAGTGATGTCGGAATTTGGGGTGTCATCACCAGGCATCCGGAAGCCGGCATGCCTAAAGCAGTTCTGGATCGTCTCCTTCTTGACATCTTCCCGTGGTCTACTCAACATAGAAATAGCTCCGAGCAAGTCGATCTTAAGCTCCCTGCCGACATGGAGGTTCTGCAGCAGCCTCTGCACCAGGCGCTTCCGATAGTCGACTTTCATTGTGCGTGTAACGCCTTGATCCAGTGGTTGCAGTACAGACATAGTGTTTGAGGGCAAAAAACGCAGCTCAATGTTGCTGAAGGGCGTACTGCAGTGGTGCGATGAACAAATGTCCACGAGCAGGCCCACCTTGCCATTATCGCCTACCAAATCATCATTCCAGGACGATAGCCATCTGCTGAAAAGCTCTCGGTCATCCACGCTTTTGAGTTTGCTCGGTAGGTAACTGGAAGCGACCACGCATTTTGAAAACACCGCTGTGCCGTGCTTTTCCCGATAACCAGAGGTCGAAGCTTTTTCGATTCGTCTAAATTAGCTGCCAACAGTACGGACACACGAGCTTCGTTTTCCTTGCCGGCGCTTGTCTTGTCGCCACGACACACAAGTGTCTTGTTTAGCAACATTTGCCAAAATAGAGCAGTTTCATCCACTTTTAAGATATCTTGGGCTCTGTATCTTGCTGCGATATCTCACCAGTTTTCCTTGAGCCATTTTTCTACGCTGTCCAGGTCGCCGCTCTGCTTTCGCCTGTAACAGCTTTGCCAACGGTGTCGTGCCGTTCTTTGAACTGCTGAAGCCAGCCTGAACCGCCTTGGAAATCATTCCTGTGAAGCAGAAAAGCAAGGTCCTTGGCTTTCTTCTGTATCATAGGGCCGGACACCGGGATGTTTCATGACCGAACGTCCACAAACCACTTGTAAACGGCCGCTTCAACATCTTCGTACAGAGCAGCATACACACGTCGGGCGCCACGGGCACCTGGCCTTTTGTCCGACTTGACCCTGATGTCTGCCTTGTTCTTCAGGATAGTACTCAAGGTGCTCCTTTATATTTTATTCGCGGTGGCGACGTCAGACTTTTTTTCACTGCGCTCAACCCGATCGATGATTTCGAGTTTCGCAGCGAATGGCAAATTTTGCCTTTTTGTGCATGCCTTGATGACAGCACATCTATACAGCTCACAGAGCACCAACAGGCAACACTACAAATCACGCTGAGTCAGCAGCAGCAGCAGGCACACAAGCATAAAGAAAGAAAAAATGGCGCTCACTTCTACCGCCTCTGCACCTCGGAGAAAGCACGACAGCCTCTGATTGGCTGTAAGCGCTGCGAGCGGGCCAGGATCATTTCTTGGAGGGGGGTGTTTGCCCGCACACAACCGGGTCTAACCAACTTTTTCTAGGGTGGTGCCGGCAGTTTTCCCTGCCACCGCGAGGGAAAGCCAACTTGCTGGCGCACTTTTGAGGCACTTGGAGTTTGATATATCAGTTGCCATTGCTATTTTCGTTCAATGAAACAGTAACTTTTGCTATATATCCTCAATGTAAACTTATCATAGTTAGGAATTGTTCGATATACGGGATAATTTGGTATAAATGGGTTCGATACAGTTGGGCTCGACTGTATATAGACAGATAGATACCCTCAAAGTTACCACAATGTGCTATGAAATGCTTTGCATTTGAAAAAATATTAAAAACTTCCGTTTCTGCGGCATGGCACGTGGAAAACATTCCAGTGCCTGCGAAGAGAAGCGAGGCACTGAGAACACGGTACGCTCCTTAGGACACTCCTGTCTTTGAAAAATTCAATGTTGATTATCAGGGAAATCGGGAGCAAAAGACACAATCATGCAGGAGTGGCCTTCTAAAAAGGCCTATCGTAATCAAGATGTACGGCAGTCGGGCCACTTATGAGATGAAAATAGGTGAGTGTCTTTTAAACTTGATGATACACAATTGTCTGCTCGCAGCCCAAACCATTCATCCTTCTCCTTTCTTTATTATTAAAGAGAGCAAAATAGCCTTATGAAACTATTCAGCCAAATACGTACCATACGACGAATATCCTGCATAAAGTAGTTTTGGTGTCATGTCGTTTTTCGCACTGTTTAGAGTGGACCCAAATCACTACCTGGCCTAGCCACTGTATCCGCGAAGCTCGAGCAATCTGAAAACCAAACTAACTTAAAAGCCAGCTTCTCGTAAACTAGAACGAAAAAGAATGCCTGTGAAGATATACCTTGAAGAAAACCAGGAGTGAAAGCGACACAGGCGATAGGGTTCTACCACTTTGAAATGCTGCATTCACTGACAAGTAAACTCTTCCCCGTGAAGCCGTAAGTCTCAAAAACAACCGGAACTGGTTTCTAGCCACTTTTTGACCATACAAGTTTGTCGCACAACTAACACTCAACCTTCGCGTGGAAAGGAACCTGTAGTCAGTATATATGCTCTTTCACATTACTGTTTAACCAAGATACCAAATTGCGCTCACCATGTTCCCAGAATGCATGTTTCAGAAATGTTTTAGCTCTCGTATGTAAACCTCTATC